ATCATATATCTCCTTATTTGAGTCAGCTGAGCCGTATCTGGCCGTGCCACACTCACAGTGTCACATACATGCAGAAGTATTATTTTAAGCAACACATTAAGTTAACGAAACACTCGAGAAAAATGTAATTAAAGTCAGATCCACTCGTGTCTTAGACAGGGCAGTGATATCATAAACCTGTTAATGTACGCATTCAAACACTTTTTCTTTTACCAGCTGTATTCACCTTGCAGGTGCAGCTATGTGGCTTTTATTCTGGATAAAGTGTTTAAGTCATGGATGTTTAAAGTTTAACGTCTTCATATTTGTCTAATTATAGTTGACTTTTCATTCAGGAAGTATGACGCTGCGCTGTCAGTACGCTTGTCCATGTTTGTGATTGGTGGAATGCTCCAATTACCACCCCTTTCATGTGAACGCGCACCTAACTAGATAGGACACGGCTGGCTTGAGCGATCCACTTGATAACCCGCATCGTAGTACCCTTTAGCGAGAGCGCGTATGTTTTGGATTAGGCCAACCGGCTAACTCAAACATATCCAGGTTAGGTTGAACCAGCTTCGTAGTACAGGCCTCTGAATGTAAGTTCAATATTTTGCTGCAGGTCTCCCTTGAAAAGGAGATTGTTGATCTCAATGGGATTTTCACCTGGTTAAATAAAGGCTACAAACAAATATTAATTCTCGTTTCCACTCTGTTTTAGTCTCCACCACCTCCATAGAGAAATATATTGTTGTGTCTCGTCAAATGTGTTAGTTATGTTTATGTATTTTGTCTGTCATTTCCTGTTTTATTTTGTACTTACCTCTTGTCTTTCATTTCAGGCCCTGTTTCTTCTTCCCCTTGTGTGTTTTTCCCGCCATCATCAGTGTTTGCCCCGCCCCTGATTGTTTCCACCTGTTCCAACTCACCTCATGTTTAAATAGTCCGATACATCATGTAGACAGCAAGTCACCCTGTGTGAGGCAGACCCACATTTGCGCAGCTTTGCGTTCACAATACAAACAATAAAAAAATTAAAAAATTAACAGGCCAGGCCAGGCCATCGGGAAACCCCCCGGTCCTCCCGATGGTCTGTCCGGAACTGGGTACAGGAGGCGTAGAGCGAGGGATCATTGTCCACAAGTTAATCGATCGCAGATGGCGTCGAGGTCGCGGACGGATAAAAAAAAAAAACTTAAGTGGGTCACGAAATTTACTTGGGCGGCCGTTAATATACCTGGGCGGCCCGCCCAAGTAAAGTCTATGTGTGGGAAACCCTGAGCTAACTGTGTCTGTCTGCTACACCCTTAACCAATCACAAAATGATTAATGGAAACAGACTCACAGGTAAAATAATGTTTTAGCAAAATGATTTATGTTTCTAAGTTCAATAATATTCTCGCGTTGAAACAGTAATGTAACCTCATCATAACCTCATGGTTACTTATTGCAACACTGACTCCTTCCAAACTTTTGGCTTGTGTGAAATCATTAATTGCTACAGTTAAGGGCTGAGATACATCCTGCTGTCTATCCCTCACCTCGCTTCACTGATAGCTTTAGCCTTGGCTGTGCTGATAAACCGAACTGACAAATATGTCAAGTATATCAGGACATAAACACTGTGCACAGCGTTGGCGACAGAACACACACACAGAATTAAAAAGGTAAACAGGAATCAAGTGTGTGTAAACGAAACCTGAGGTTTACTACTGTACTTTGAACAACAAAACAAAGTTGGTTTACTTTACGAGTAAAGTTTAAAATCTCAGTTTAGGTGGACGTTAAGTGCTTATCATCATATAGATAACAGTGTTAGAAAAGTAAGAGGGAAATGGAAACTCTAGCTTCTAAATATACTTCAGACAGGTTTGAGCTCCTCTCCCTGGTGGGAATTGCTGTTTTTAATGGGCTGAATTTTTTTCTTTTGCTACAGAAACACATGACCCCTGGCCGTGAGTTCACCCTACTCAAACAAACTTTTAGAGGTTTTTTTAATCTTTGACTTTAACCTTTTCTATCCCTCAAACTAGATGACTATGGGTTGCTGCTGATGGCAGAGGCGCTACTGGAGGAGAGCCTGCAGGAAAACAAGGACCTATTACGGAGCTCCACACCTTTGATCGACAAGACCCAGCCCAGACTGTGCCTGGCCAAAGGCCACCTCAACTCTGTCCTCAGCCGAGGCCATCTCACAGTCAGTGAAATCTGGGTTCCTTCTGATCATCCTAGTTTTCGATTCCTTTCTGCCTTTTCAAAGCTTTATTTGGAAGCCCATCGCACATCTTTTAAGTATGTTTAAGTATTGCAAAATATTAATTACTCTAAAAAATCGACTCACTATCACAAAAATGTACTAAATATCTCAATATAATTTAGTTTCTGAAAATATGATCAAATGTTCGCAGACTGAAAATAAGATAGCAAAATAATGATTTAACATCTCAAAAATAAGAGTATAATCATGTATCTCAAAGTAATTAATAACCTATCTGAAATGATGACATAATAACAAAGTTATTATTTTTTGAGGAACTAAATCATAATAAAAAAAATGTTTTACTGGCACAAATAGGCTTCCAAAGCTTCAAGTCTTTTTTTCTTTATAGAATCCAAAACACTACACAAAACACAAGCTTTTTTTTAACAAATGTCTTCCTTTGTGATGCTTAAGTATCAGCAAACCTCTTGTCATACAGTATATATATTTAATCTTGTCCTCCAGCCCAGGTACTTGAACGAGGCTCTGCTGATGATGGCCAAAGTGCACTTTGTGCAGGGTCGCTACCGGGACGCCCAGGGAATGTGTGCCAGGGTGGGACTGGACGAGCTAACGCGGGATGAGCAGCCGACCTACCATCTCCGCCTGCTGGCCGAGGCTTTTGTCATGAAAGGTACCTGAAACCGCTGCCAAATCATAGGGACATTTCAAACACTTTTTCCATCATTACAATTGCAAATAACTGCTGAAATTGGCAAACATGGCCATATGTCTTGACGATTTTGACAAGACTGAAAAGCTCCCTACATACATTTCCTTGATGATCCCATTCCTAATCACAGCCCTAACACCACAATGACCGTGTATGGGGTTTGGAAGTGAAGTGGAAGGGAGAGTCGGGGGCTGAAGAAATCCAATCTGTGGAAATGAATGTAACACGGCTGGAAAACATCAGCTTGATTTGACAGATAGTTATATGTCAGTAACCCCTGCAAACAGCTTGTGGAGGACACTGATGAGGTGAAAGGAGAAATGGGAAAAGATTGTTCACAAAGATGACCTTTGTGTTTCCTCTCGAGTTGCCTCTCCTGATGCCACTTCATGTACAATAACACCTCAGTTATGACATAATGGGATGGACTCAGAGTAAAGTCACAGGGAACAGATTAAGTGTGATTTATATACAGATGCTGTTTTAAAAATCAGATGATTGTGAGTCATATGTCGAGGAAGCATTTACTATTACTCACAGTCACTCACTTTCTTAAGCTGTCGTAGTAGTTTCATTATAACACATTATTCTCTGAGTCACTCCACTCCAGTTAGATACAATCTTAAGTATGTTGTCTATTTTGACACATTGAATAGCAGCATTGTCAAAGGTCATCGGTCACATCCACACAACATTACATAGCGTGTTGTCCCTGAGCTCTCGATAATCTTGTTACGCTCATAATCATCGTGTCATTACACTCCCTGTTTCCTATAATGGGACATGACCTCATGCTCTTGAAACAGGAGAATTTCATTACATTAACTGTTATATTTTCATTTCCTTTTGATTGTTTTGAAACCCACTGCATGATATTTCAGCGGATCGTGTTCATGTTACTAGAGAAAACAGATCGGATCCTTTGGGGGTTGCATAGCTTCTTCCCATGTTCTTTTGTGTACATATTGATGTGGGAATGAAGTCCGAAGTGAATATTTGGATGATGATGTCTTGTCTGTCCGCAGCTGCCTGCTTATTTGATTAGGCCTGGCGTCTGGCCTGAGGCTGCTGTCCGTCACAGGCATCGGTCTAGCAAAGTTCCTGCTCGCTCTGTTTATTTGTACCAATAAGTCCACTAACGGACGTCAGACCGGCATCTGGAACAGGAGCACCAGGCTCACATCTATCTGTCAACACAATATGCAAATAAAATAGGGAAAAGACATTAAAGAAATTAAGATTGAAGTTCGGTTTGGATGAAAAAATCTATTAGGATTTGGATCGCAGAATGATTCTAAATTAAACTTGTAAAAAATTGTTATTAAATATTTCGGGTTTCTAATCATCTTTACCTTTCTAAAGAAGTTGAATAATGTGTACGAGTGAGTAACAATGCACATCCTGCATGCCAACAGTGTGAGAATTATGTATATAATAATATAGAACAATATTATTCTATCATGTGAACTGCACCCGTCTTGTCTATAGAAGCCCGTAAACAAAGTTGAGGATTAAGTGTTTAATAGTGAATGCACAATGATAAATATCATCAACTGATTTTTAAAAACAAGTTTTAAAAAAATCACAGCTCGAATGCAAAAAACAAACTCCCTCCTTTTTCTTGCAACAACAAAGAAATTACATTTGACCATTTATCTTCTGTGCTGTATGATACATAAGAAAATAAGCATATTTTCTCAACATTTATCGAGTTTGAAACAAAAGTATGTTCAGTACTTTTTGTCAATTTCTAATTTTAATCATCATGTCATCTTTTAAACATTTTTTAAAGGTGGGGTAGGTAATTCACTTCAGAAACACCTTTTGTTATATTCCATGGAATGCTCTTAACATCCCGATGGCAATGAATATATTAAATGCTTTGACAATAAATACATACAGAAATTTCATCTCTGGAAGCCGTGGCACTGTAAAACGCACGACCAATCATTTTAGCCGCCCCGGCTAAAATAACTGGATGGCCTACCTGCCTGTCAGCCTTCCATCTGTGCACAAACTTATCTCGTGCCCTCATTGGTGTGTGTTGGAGGAGGGGCTCTGTAACGAAGTCTGAAGGAAGGTGCAGGTTTTTTCCGGTTGTATTCTTTCAAATTCTAGCGCACTCAAGCTGGTTTCTCCATTCTTACCTACCCTACCTTTAAAGCATGTATTACAGATAAATTAGAAAATACGGACACATTTCAGTCCTTAAAGAATTTTGAAAAATGTGTTCTATCTTACCAAATATTGATAATTATAATCAGGTTTACCCTTGAGTACAATTGATCAATGATGTGTAATATTTATCTGGAGATGTACATTTTATTTTCAAAATCTGACAGTCGTTCCTATTATTAATTTGGATATTTTCAGAAAAGGCACCTGATTCATCCTTTTACTTTTAATCACACAAGACACACATTTAAATGTCCTACTAATTATGAATTGTAGCTTTTGTGGGATAAAGTATAATTGTACACATGATTTACTGTATCTTGTGTGTTCACTGCAGTATAACCCGCTAACGTAGCCAGCAGGATAAGTAAACCCTTCTTTTGAAGCAGCTTGTTGTTGAATGTTAAGTGCAAGTCTGATGGTGTGATGTCCCGTTGTGTCTCCTTGTGTCTCAGGTCTTTCTCTGGACCATCAGACGGTCTCCGCAGTGTCTCGTGTCCGCCTGTCAGAGAGGGAGGAGGAGAGTCTGTGCTGTTACCTGAGGGCGTGTGACGCTGCTCTGTCTTACCTGCAAGAGCTCGATAAGGTGGATCTTTAGACGTGTGCAGTGTGCTTTCATGTGTGTGGGGTTATGCAGTCCCTTTATGGAGGAGTATCAGGGGAAAGCTTAAGGCGGAAGATCTGTTTTTATTTAGCATTTAGAAAATAAAATGAAATTGTTAAGAATGGAGTCAGACCTCAAGTTTTGTACATACCAAAAAATAATTCAGAGGGAGAAAAAAAGGTTTTACATTGAGGATAACGACAAAATGGTAAAAATATCAAGAATTTAAATATTGAGAATATATTAATCTATATGTACTAGCATTAGCTCATGTATTAAAAGTAGGTCATTATTCATGAACTTTTTCAACTTTCAACTTTATTTTGACTTTATTTTACTACATTTGAGCTTCATTATTCACATTTTATTTAAAATATAATCCTATAATTTGTCAGCTTTATTTTCGCCATTCAAATGTTAGTCTTTAAAGGCAAAATAAATCTTCATCCTCTGATTTTTTTCTCTTATAGTACCTAAATACTTAACCATTCAAGCAGTGCTTGTGCTTGGTATTAAAGCTCCCATGCCATGGCCATTTCTACTGATCATAATTCCATTGTTGAGGTATACTAGAATAGATTTATATTGTGCAATTTTCCAAACTCACATTGGTTTCTCATACAGCATCTCTGTATAGTATGTGTATTCACTCTCTGTCCTACACGACTTGTTTGAGCTCCTGTCCCCCCCTCCCTGTGAGCCCAGTGGCCGTCTGTGAGACAGCGAGACACAGCAAAACCCAGCTCGAAACCAGCCCGAAACCAGCCCGAAACCAGCCCGAGCACACATACACACCCGCAGCCTGGCTAGGAGTTTGTGTGTGTGCTCACACACAGACTCACGTCCCGCCGTCTCAGGGAGGAGAATTCGGCAGAGCTGCAGCTGAGAAAAGATTGAGTGTGTGTGTGTGAGGAAGCCCTTAACGTAACGGCTCCGCGGACGTAACGTAAGTGCTCCACGGATTGGTCCATTTGGGTATGGGCACGTCACTGTACCCAGGAAGAAAACAATGGAAAAAGATAAATCTCCAACGAGGCGTTCTGGGGCAGCACAGACAGGTCTTTTCTGTGTTAGAGCTTTACTCGCTACAGGGTGTACTTTGAGGGTTTCTGACTTTGCAGACCGTTTACATGCAGAAACACCTTCATATCACACAAGGGGACGGGTAATAACCGGAAAAGCATGACATGGGACCTTTAAAACATTTTTGAACTTACCTAATATATATATATATTTATATATATGGTTAAATAATGAAATGTTTATGATATTTTCAGACAATATCAACGCCTCACAGTAAGACAGCCAAATCCAGTACGCTCCCTCAACCTGTGGAAATGGACCTGGGCTACTTCCTGCAGGCGTCCTTACAGAGCGCGTACCTCTGTCTGCTGCAGAGGGGGTGAGTCTAACAACACTTTGCCAACATTTCATGATTCCAGCCTTTTCCTTGTTAGAAGAATACAAATTACATGCAGTCTAAGATATTAATTGTTCTTTCATTTAAAAGAAGGCAGCCCCAAAAACTAAGGTCTTCAGCCTGGATTTATAAGAAGTGAGAGTTGCAGCGGACCTGAAGTTTTCCAGATAAATGGAGCATAAGAACTAACTCTGCTTCCCCATGTTTAGTTTTGACCCTGGAGACAGAAGGCAGACCTGTCCCAAAGATACACATATTTATTTTAAACTATATTGGTCTTTATCATTCTAGATTGTTTTGTTAAAAGTTGCCAAGTATTGGAAATGTCAGCCTTAGAGATGTCTGCCTTCTCTCCAGTCAAATGGATGTACATTTTTCTTATAGATTTTATTGTATTTTTCTTCAACTTCACCCTCCAACAAGTGAGACGGGGTGATGTGGGCTAGAAAAATAGTTCCTACTTGAAACTGCTAACAACAATGTCTGTGGATTAATTTGACTTGTCAGGTCTGGATCTTTTGAAAGATACATTTATTTTGAGTTTTTTTTATATATTTTCTAACGGCTTATGTCTTTGCCACTTTAAGCACCAGAAGACCACGACCATGTCGTTTTATGACATTCAAAAGAAGGCAGATAACTCTAAAAGTACTTTTCAGCCATGAGATGCAATACCTATGAGGCTCACTAAATCATCAGGTGAAAAGTTTATAAAATATAACTGCTTCTTAAGTCTGGGTAACATTACAAAAAAAGCCAAGAACATGTATCTGTTCAAAGATTTTGGTTGTATAGTTTGTAGTGAGCCTTATATAACAACCAATTGGAAGCCTAACTTATGTACCTTACTCTACATTACATGACTAGTCATACACAATGATTGATGACTTGAGTCCTTTCCTTCAGGATGGATTGTAACGGAGGGAACCTTGGGCTTTTTTGTCTGTTGTAGAAACTGAGGCGGAGAAGAAATAAAGAAAAGCTTTTAATAAGTGTACCACTTGACCACTTGACCTCAGTGAAGCAGAGAGGCATTTTAATGTGTGACCAGCAGGTGTCAGTGTGCTCTTGGACTCAGAAAACAAATGCGCCATGTGTTGGATATTCTGTTTTTAGTGTATTAGATACACCTAGCTCAAAATAATAGAAGCTCATCCGATCATGGAGGTTATAATGTTCTGTTTTTGATAAAATGGACATAGAGAGGTGTAAAAATTGAAATATTTATACGGTGGATAAAATACTGAAAAACCTTTAATAGACACTTGCATCTGAGTGTATTACCACAATCATAGAAATCCCAATACAAAACAGTTGTATTGGCATGGCTGTTCGAGTTACATTATTACTGAAAAGTTTTACACAAGAAAAGTACATCTAGAAAACGTATATATTTATAAACTTCTTTCTACTGTTTTTTATGGCAAGCTGTGACGCTCAATATGTTAAGCAAATTGCTGTTAGAATATAAGCCTCTTATTATTTATTATAGTATGATATTAATAGTTTTGCCTCTAGCCATAATATGACACATCCTGTTGCAGCTTCTTCTGCGTTATATATATGCCACCTTCTTAAACTGATAAACGCCCTCTTTGTGTGTGTGTGTGTGTGTGTGTGTGTGTGTGTGTGTGTGTGTGTGTGTGTGTGTGTGTGTGTGTGTGTGTGTGTGTGTGTGTGTGTGTGTGTGTGTGTGTGTGTGTGTGTGTGTGTTAGTCATCTCGCACAGGGTGCTCACCAACTGCGTAGGGTGCTCAGGGTGGTGGAGTCACGAGGGTCCCAGAGCTTCAGGAAGGTGAGTAGTTATACACACACACACACACACACACACACACACACACACACACACACACACACACACACACACACACACACACACACACACACACACACACACAATGGCATGGTGATGTTTGTATTCCTTTAAAACAGGCCTTTACTTGCTTAAATTTCAAAATACATTTAGCTCTTTTTGCATATAATTCTTATTTACTCTACTTAAAGCAAACAATGACCACTCAGAGGAACTTATTCATGCAAAATAACAGTGATTATAATTCCATATACAAAAGATACATTTGTATAGCAACTATAGTAATTGTAGTACAATGTATTATTGCCTTTACCTTATAATGTGTTATGATAATTGTTATAAAGCATTCTGTATATTGAGTGCTTAAAACTGTATTTATACAGTGCTGTGTGCTGATTATAAGTCAGTTTATAATCCATTAGACGTTAGCAACAGAGAAAGCATTAATATCTTATATGATGAAACAAAATAATACTGCTACTACGTTATACATCATTGCATCATTCTCTCATCTGTCTGCTCATCATCTAGTTAATACATTGTTGTTTCCTTTAGTCTGCAGCGAGGAAGCTAGCAGAGGTGCTGCTGAGCTTTGTGAGTGAGGACAGCTACTGGCCCCCGCTGGGCCCCCCACCCTCAGCCTGGCTCCACAGAGAGGGGGCCGCCGCCTTCAAAGACGCCGTCTACCCCACTGTTAAACCACCGCAGCGCTACAGCACCGACAGGTCTGTTTGGATTATTTCTAATTTCACTACCTTTTGTTGTGTTTCATGCTACTTGTCTTAATTATTCCTCTTAATTCTCTTATTATTGTGATCCTACCATCAGTGTACTTTGAGCAATTGCTTAACCATTTTTTTTGTTACTCCTTTGTGTCCAAAATTATTTTGTCGAAATTGCACTTTCAGCAAGTGTTGTATCAGTTTTGTGCAATATATTATCCTCCAACTGTGGGGCTCGTCAGTTGGCGCCAACTCCCTTTATTCAAGTGTGTTTTGTTCTAAAGACTATGAGTCTTCATCAGGGACAGGGAGGGGACAGACTTCCCCCAGAGAGCTCAGAGGGTACCTGTTTACACTGGGTCAGTCAAGGTGAGGAGTGCCAGCACACCTCTCCTCCTCTCATCAGTGGGATGTATTACTGTACTCATATAAAGAAGCAGAAAATAAATACTTGGCATTTAATGCTTGCGAAAATATATATGAAAAAAATGCACCTATGGTTTTCTTCAATAAGCCCTGTAGCCCAGTGTTCAGGTGAACTGGGAAAATTATATTTAAAGTTGGGGTAGGTAATTTTGGTGAAACCAGCTTGAGTGCGCTAGAATTTGAAAATACACAGCCGGAAAAAATCTGCCACTTCCTTACAGAGCCCCTCCCCCAACACACACAAACTCGCACATGACCAATGAGGGCACGAGATAAGTTTGTGCACAGATGGAAGGCTGACAGGCAGGTAGGCCATCCAGTTATTTTAGCCGGGCCGGCTAAAATGATTGGTCGTGCTTTTTACAGTACTACGGCTTCCAGAGATGACATTTTTTTATGGATTTGTTGTCAAAGCACTAAAGATATTCATTGCTATCGGGATGTTAAGAGCATTCCATGGAATATAACAAAAAGTGTATCTCGAGCCGGTTTCTCAAACTTACCTACCCCACCTTTAAGAGAACACCACACCATGACATAAGAATACAATATAAAATAACATAGAATATAACAGCAAAGCATGACATGACCTCATTCAGTCAATATAAATCAACTTCATTTGTTTTAGCATCTTTCATACAGTTTTATGTGGTTCAATATGCCTCATAGAAAAACTTAACAAAATGGTGGATTTTTTTAAATTAATAAAATACAAATACAATTAGATAAAATGATACAAATTAATACAAAATATAACATGATATAATTTAACAACTTTAGATACAATAAAATAAGTAAATAAAATAACATTAAAAATAATCAGATGGCAAGTAATATTAAATAAATTGACATTGCATAACATGACATAACATAGAGAGAAACATAAAAAAACACAACATATGACATAAAGGGACTGTGTACTAAAGTATACTGTACCATAACATGACATATATTGACATATGGATGGATGGCATATGCATGGCACAGTACTGACAGGATCCTGCATCAGCACTCTGAACTGTATCTCAGCGTCAATTTGGCTCCCTGCAGCCCCCTCTTTGCAGGGATCCTGCGCTCACTGCGAGCCGTACTTAGTCACCACCACATGACTAATCCTGCCCACACTATCATAAGTGAAGATCTAAATCCATGTCTGAGATTAGAAGGAGAGGGGGAACAGGAGACTTCACCCTGAGGAATGGCTGCACTCCAGTATTGTTCATGGCTGTTGTCATCAGCTGCCTCTTTTGCAAAGGCCTGGACGGTGTCTGGTAAATGTGTCCTTTAATAAGACACAGGGCCCACCAACGAGGGAGGAGAAGCAGAGAAAGTGATGAAGGAGAGGGCTGGGAGAGAAGAGATGGAAGAAATACATTAGCCTGTGTGTGTGTGTGTGTGTGTGTGTGTGTGTGTGTGTGTGTGTGTGTGTGTGTGTGTGTGTGTGTGTGTGTGTGTGTGTGTGTGTGTGTGTGTGTGTGTGTGTCATCTGAGATAGTGCTGTGTAGCGATACACCCAGGGTGGTCCGTGTTGGGTTACAGCACCACACGTGAGACAGAAACTGGACACTCCCAGCAATCTGACCATCTACCTTTGGAAAGGCCGTGTGTGTGTGTGTGTGTGTGTGTGTGTGTGTGTGTGTGTGTGTGTGTGTGTGTGTGTGTGTGTGTGTGTGTGTGTGTGTGTGTGTGATTAGACTTCCTGTTTATTTCTTATTTCCTGTGTCCTGCAGTTGCTTCTGTCCTCAGGACGTGGTGGAGGAGGCTGTGTTGTTGCTGCTCATCACCGAGTCCATGGTGAGACACACACACACACACACACACACACACACACACACACACACACACACACACACACACACTCACACACACTACCTCATTCTTCGCCTTTTTGCTTTCAAAACATAATATTTCGACACTTTAAAGTGGACCTTTCTGCTGAGGTCATCCATATCACCGCCTTTCCCATCCTGATTTGTCTTCCTCTTCCTTCCCCCTTTTCCTCGCTCTCCCTCTCTGTCCGTCCAGGCCAGCGGAGACGCGGTGATCAGTCGTCTTCCAGACCAGGCCGAAGCCCGTCAGAGCAGCCTGCAGGATGCCACCTCCGTGTATGACCTGCTCACCCTCGGCATGGCCAGGAGGGGGCAGTATGGCATGCTGTCTGAGGTGTGGTGACACACATACACACACAAGCTTAGTGAGACACACACTCCATGTTGGAGGTCTGAGGGGAGGAAAGCGTGAGAGATGAGATGTGTTAGTGAGAGCTTTGCCTTTGCCAAACTTTATAATGAATGTCCTTACCACTTTGAGCAAGAGGATTATGTGTATTTTCCTCTTCTTCCTGCATTTTCTTTCTCATTATCTCACACTTAATTCCTCCATTTTTCTTTTTTTACAAACTCCCCCCTTAATGTGACCTCTATGTAGAAAGTTTGGGAGGCGTAGGTTGGAGAAGTCGTCTAAAATAGGTTTGTCCACCTGTCTCACTGATTCATAGAGAGCATCAGTCATGGTATAAGGAGGACCACACACACACTCCCACACACTGAGGTAGTTCCACTTAGACCAGTGATCAACTTGCTGATATATGAGGCCAGTATGGGCCATTTATTAAGAAGTAGTGTCAGCCAGTCAGTGCCATCCATCTCTGATGTGATGAAGAAGATTCACATTGATTGATTACAGACTTTCTGAAACATGAATCAATCCACACGGGGTCTGAGGCTAGTTCTGGTTCCTATATCACTTTTCATTTCGAGGATACACAGATATGTATTAGTATTACAATTAGCTAGGGTTTTGCTGTTGCATACATTTTTACATCATTATATAATACAACAAAATTGCTAGAGTTTTGTATGGTAAAAATTACAAGATGATATATCTGACAAATGTATGAAGTATCTAAATCCTATGATTAAGTAAAAGCAGTAACACCAGAGTGTAAACATATTCCAATTTTGAGTAAAAGTCCTCCATTCAAAATGTGATCAATAAAAGTTAATTATATTAGTTTTTTCATGTATAATCATATAAGTTAAATTATTGGATTACTATTACTGATTGATTAATGCTGGTCAGGTAGAGACAGTTTCAGTGGTGTCAGTCCGCCACTCTAACGGTATGGTTTATTGGATGGATAAGCATGATATTTGCTAAGGATATTCCATGTCCGGTGAATAATGAGTTTGGTGATCCTTTGACTTTCAATCTGGCACCGCCTTGAAGTTGGCATTTTGTTTTCGGGTTAACTTTCTTTTCAATTATTGGATGGATTGCTATGAAATGAGGTACACACGTTCATGTTTCCAATAAAGACGCTCATAACCCATTGGCTATCAGATGTTGACAACACTCTTGGGGCAAGGAGCTGTAATCGGGTAATTCTGGTGTAGCTAGCTGATATCCAGGCCAAGACTTCCTCTTCCATGTACAGGTTACTGTTAACAGTCCAATCAGCAACTTGGGACACGAGAATTGTTTTGGTTTGTGTTACAAGTAGCCAGTTTACAAGCTAATTTTAAGCTAGTTTTTAGCTATTTTGTTGTTTGACAATAGCTGATAGGTTCCACTTCCATCCAAAAATCTTCTCCCCTTGAGATTAGCTACCGACACAGCAACTCTGAGATCCTGTTAATGTTCATCAGACACTCCCATCAGCTCTCATTGTCTGTTTGGTGCCTATTAGCAAATGTTAGCATGCTAACATAATTGACTAAGATGACATTGAATAAATAAACATTACACCTGCTAAACATCAGTGTGATAAGCTAACCGCAGTGTTTTGTGTCCTGCATCAACATTTGTCTAAACCCTACAACTCTGCATATTAACCCCGTAACCAGGGGTAAAATTGGGATTTGTTACGAGGGGCGCCTGATTTAGCAGGGTTAACAAGGGTTAGCATGACGTATGCAGTGACAGTTGCATTCATTTTAGCAGACTTAACTTAATTCCTCAATACTCATGTTTGTTCATTCATTGTATCATATAAGAAATACCCAAAGCGATACAATGTTGAGCTAATGTGTACATGTTAAATTGTCCGCAGCCTTTCTACTAAGTGCAAATTATTTATTTAAAATATTAGGCAGACCTTTGTGCTAAAGTTTCACCACACCATCCACTGCTCGTCCACACACACATCAATCACATCATTATGTACTGAAGCAGCGCTGAGTGGATGCTGAGAGGTGACTGACAGTCAAGCTAGAAAAATGTAGAAGAAGAGTGCCCATTCAGTTTAGTGACTTTTGTAAATGAGGGGAAATTAGTTAATAAATATAATGATCCTAACCCTGGCTTTGCAACAGTATAAGCACTTATTTTTAATTCATTTCATATTTTTTTGTCTCAGACTGGGTTAACCTGAACATGACTGCACCCACGTATCTGTATGAATTATATGACTTTGACATATTTGCGCGTCTGCATTTTTCCTCGTAGTGTCTGGAGCGAGCCATGAAGTTTTCATTCAACGAGTTCCACCTCTGGCACCAGCTGGGCCTGTCACTCATGGCAGCCAGGAAGGTGAGCTCATGTCTCCTTATATACCAGCAACAGCCCCTTACACACACGACGACACACCCTAAATGTGACATACATCCCCTGCCGTACCTCTGAGCTGTACACTGCACCTCACACTCATGTCCAGGCATGGTGCAACAAATGGTTTTTCGCAGATAAGCGTGCAGTCTGCTCGGAGAAGAAGATGGGTTGAGTTTTATTTGATTAATAAATTGGCAAGTCAATTATAGCAAAAAATACGCAATAACTCTTAACCATGTAGCACAGAATGCATGGGCCTTGATAGCAATTCCTGTCTGATTAAGCCAAAAACAACTTGAAATGTTTGGGAAATACTATTGAATCATATTGCGGCCAAATTAAGTTGTAATCTAAAAAAAAGCCTTTTGTATGGGAGTCCTCAAAAGGAATATCCTATCCACCCCCGCCCCCCTTCTGCCTCAGTGTGTGCGCGCCCATGTGTGTGACAGAAAAATTGATCTGTCTTGCAGTATAAAGTGACACTGCAGATCAATGGAGAGCTCTGGAAATAGGCTGCTCCCTAGAAGGAGAAGGGGCTGCCTCAGTGTCGTCAGATCCGCTTCTATTTAGGGCCAGCCGGGCTTGTGTCTGTGGGCATGTGTGTGTGCATGTGCACGTGCACGTGGTCCATTAATGATTGACCTACATGTATTAAGTGACTGTGTGTCTAAATGGGTCTATTAGGGCTGTGTAAGGACAGTTGAAATGTGTTTGATACACTCACTTAAAAGAGATCCATGTCATCTGTGGCTGCATGATAACTGGCGTCTGTGTGCACATTAATCACAATATGTCAGTGACGTGTGTGTGTGTGTGTGTGTGTGTGTGTGTGTGTGTGTGTGTGTGTGTGTGTGTGTGTGTGTGTGTGTGTCTTCCAGGGGGTCGGTGCTGTGTCTGTATTTAAAGAGTGTGCCAGGATGAGACCAGAGGACCCCTCGTTGCCGCTATTGGCTGCTAAAGTCTGCATTGGTCAACTGCAATGGGTGAATACTCACAAAACAGTCATTACACTTTAATGTACATGCACTCACAATACATTTACATGCAATTCGGTCTGTGAGCCTAACCCTAACCCTGGTGCTGCAACAATCAGTCAACTAAGCGATCAAGTGAACAATAATAGCCAACTACTTTGATAATCGATTGACCCTGAAAGTAATTTAAGTGTACACTGATTATTTTTGGGTTTAGGCATGCAAAACGTTTCAACTTATCACCTTGGAACTTAAAACATTTAATAGACAAAACGATTATTCCATTGTGAAAATTATCTTTAGTTGCAGACCTACAGTAACCAGACAACACAAAGTAGCCATGTCTTTGGTATACCCTGTTTTATAGCCTATTTTACTCTAAATGGGACATCATCCTGAACATCATGCTCTATTGAATATTGACACTAGCAATTGAGACCATTAACTCATCAAGAAAATATTTACCAACTTGTCAAAAGACAAGATAATATATTATTTAAAGGTTCAAATTTCACAGGATTACAGGATCAATCTTTATCAGGAACTTATGAGGTATCAACAACAAGCAGTTGAGATCGAACAATCAGTTTTGTAATTTATAATCTTCATTTAGTTACACCTGCCTACCTTCGCTATAGCGTCAACCATGAGAAGATCAACTAAATGGAGAGGTCATAGAATCCTACAGTACATGAGCAGCATGTTTCCAGCATCCTTACTGTAAAAGATTGCTGAGGTGTGTCTTTCAAATCCAATTCAAACGAACAAAGGAAGATATGCATTTCAAATGCAGTTTGAATGGTTCAAATTTGTTCTGCCAGTGTAGAGATATCAACGTCTAAAGAACAAGAACACACTCTGCTTGCACATTTGGGCGTGTAGGTTTAAAGGACTCGGTAGGCTCCAAGCTGTAGGTGGGTGATTCTAACCTTTGTCACATCGCAGAGAACATAAAAAAAACTTTGAAATCTCTCTGTAATGTAATATGTGATAAAACAAGAGGATATTGAGCTGGGGAACATAGGACTCTGGGAGCATATACAGCTCTCAACAGCAGCTTTATTAAAATGCAGTGTGTGCATAGAGAGCCATAACACAGCAGCGCTGGGTAATGTTTTGGGATTGACACAGGGGTCACTCTGCATCACTGTGAAGCCCGGCCAGCTTGGATAGTCCTGCTGTTCATGATCTGGGCAGGAGGGAGGGAGGGAGAAAGTTGCATCAACAGAGATATTTAGTATGGGGGGGGGGGGGGAGTCTCAGGGTGAGTGAGACAGAGAGAGAGAAAGGGGTCAGAGATTAGAAAAGAGGAGCTAACAGGGGCGAACGGAGAGAGCACATCTGTCAGTGGCTGGAGATCATGGCAGGCCGGAGACACTAAGGAGCTTACAGCCGTAATCACAATGGGACACTGTGGCCATAGTGCAGTGGGGCATTACATAAATGGACCGCCATTATCCACCATCAGCTCCACTGGACATTCTGGACTATTATCTAGCCAGCAGTTTTTCCCCCACTACAGACCCTAACAATCTTGCCTAACCTCGTAACATCAGTATAAACTGCACCACTGGAAGCAAAGCAGATTTTTTTTAAATATAAATTCCTGAAAAGCAGTACTGCAGATGCAAGGTTTTCACCCCCAACTATTCGAAGGAGAGAATAATAATCCTCCTAAGATGTGCATGGATGGGCTGTGTGTTAAATACTGTTGTGTGCAGGATTTGAACTCGCAAGGGAGAGAGAGACACACAGTGAGATAGAGCAGAGGAGGAGGAGGAGGGGAGGAGGGGGGAGGGTGTCAGAGCCGTTGGCTTGCTGTTCTGCTGGCGTGCCGTCAAAGGCATTACCCCCCCCCCATTACGCCCACCTACCCACCTGCCCGCCACCAGCCGTACCGCACAGTTCTCCTCGGCTCACCTCTTTTCCACAAACTATATATATGCCACCTTCTTAAACTGATAAACGCCCTCTTTGTCTTTGTGTGTGTGTGTGTGTGTGTGTGTGTGTGTGTGTGTGTGTGTGTGTGTGTCCTTCAGCCAACTCTGCATTGTCCTTGAATCTGAACTGTCCTCACACTAAACTCATGCAAGAGATTTAATAACACCAATGTTATTTTCATAATTATTATCATCCTCAGACTAAAAAAAGGTGTGAACAAAAATTGGGACACTGAAACAGAAAGTCACTTCTGTTTGTTCAAAACAGTCAAATCAAGAAACACAAACTTGATCAAATAATTGTAGTAGATCCAATGACATTCAACCAAGTTATTTGGCCCTTTTACTCAAATCGATATCCACATTTTAAAATGTCAAGCATAATGGCATTTCCTACAGTTCTTCAACCACTTATTGTGCATGCATACTAACTATTTCTTATATACAACTACCTAACCCTAACGAAAAACAACAACCACTACTGTAAAATTAAAACTCAACATTTAAAAAAAAAAAAACTGAACCTAAACCTAGAAAACACCCTTTGAAAACTAACAAAAACTAAAATAAATTCAATTCTATACCTCTAAAATGAATGGATGTTGTAAGTAATGTTAACAGTACAATACCTAAAATGATCCTCCAAGATGTAATTGTTCCGTATTAAAGGTTATTTGTTCATAGAAATTATAAGTCAGTATTTCACCTGCCCATTTGAGTATTGACAATTAAACTTATTGAGTGTATGTTGATGTGTCCAGTACGGGGAGGCTGAGGATCTGTCGCAGAGTGTGGTGTCCATGGGGGAAGAAGCAGGAGAATTTCTACCCAGAGCCTACCTTTCCCTGGGACTGTGCTGTAGTTTGCAGGCCTCTGAGGGTGAGGACACACACAAAGAATTACTAACAATGCACTTATATACTAATAAAGGACTGGCTTATCTAAAGCCAGTTGAGTAGCACTTGAAATGTTTTGGCTCTATGAAAGCTGATGTACTTATATGATTCTGTTTTTTTCAAGTTTGTATCTTGTTGGTCGAATGCACTTATTTTAAGTCACTTTGGATAAAAGCGTCAGCTAAATGAAATGTAATGTAACCAACAAATATAGACATTTTTCAAAAGCAGGACTTCTAGGAGACCAGTGCTTGTGTCCTGCATGGAACCAAAGGAAGTTATCTCATGTGACTACACCGAATCAAATAACTGAAACCTTTATATTTGTATTTAATCCTTACCAAGTAGGTTTGTGTCTTGACCCTAAACCTAACCATGACTGTATCACAACGTTTTTTTTAACCATGCATGAAACTTCTGCATCAAAATACTACGCAAAAGGCTTCCCCTGGCGTTAATATAGTATGGTAATGACACGAGTGGCAAAATATAATGACATAATATCACACACCTGACTCCTTGGACCCACTATGGTTTCATGATAACCAAGTTGTTAACTTTGATATTTTTGTAGAAAGGCTCTAGTTTGTATGCAGGGTTAGATAAAGATTAAAAACAGGATGATAAAAAGTTCCAATGTCTTTGAATAGAGGCTATTGATTTATGTTTGGTGATGAGAGAGAGATACATGATAGTATCAATCGTAATAGTATCAATCTTCCCATATCTCTCGTAAAAAATAGGTTTAACTTATTTGCCATTCATACTATTCACTTGCCAAGTGAACAGTATTTTACTTTATAATATATAGTTACGATTGAACTGCTTAATTATAGCAAAGCTAAAGCTATTTGGGGTACCATTTGAATCTTTCTTCTCTCTCCAGCCTCTCTAAAAGCTGATCGTAATGAGTTCAACAAAAAAGCGCTACGAGCATTGAGCAAGTAGGTTCTTCTTTTTACTGTATATTCCTGTTTATTCAGTAGTCCCAAGTTTTTCTCATTTTAAACATACATATAAAGCATTTCATATTTAGCCATGCTTAATGGGGTTAACATGGCATGATGGCATAAGCATGTTGAAAGCTTGTTAGCATTGCCTCGGTATGCAGATGTTAGCAATTATCTCAAAGTACTACTGTGGCTAAATAAAGCCTCAAAGTGTAGACGTACATTAGTCGGTCTTGTATCCCACTGAAACTCAGGTTTTTGTTTCACATTCCACTATTGCATTAATTTTACATGATAACATTTGTGTTTGTATTACTTAATAATTTTCTTGAATAATAGAAATTAAAAAAACATAACTATTTTAAAGGGGAGTCATTTGTTAAAATATAAACAATTCTAACAAACGAATATAAACATTGTAAACAAAGCGCAGTTGTGAAAAGTCCAATAAAATCAAAATGTTCATCTATTTTCATCTATATTTATAATTAATATCTTGTATTTATTTATTTAAATTATATTTAATTTCTTTCAATCATTTATATTTATTGATTTCATTTAGTCTTTATTTACACTTTTTTCAATTGAATTGACCTTACATTCTCAATTTTCTCCAAGTGTTGCCATATGAAAGCACCATGCAGTAGAGGCTGTTTAAGAAATGTGCTTCCCTCTCATAAACACGTTGTGTTCTCTCTCTGCTCCACAGGGCTCATTCATTAGACCCTGAGGACGCTCTGATAGCGATGTACCTGTCTCTGCAGCTGGCACTTGTGCGGCAGGTATAAGCAAACACAGTTATTATCCTTTAATAACGGACATTAATCATTAAGTAACATTACAGTATACCTAAGAATGTGTGTGTGTGTGTGTGTCTGGCAGGTTTCAGCAGCCATCGAGCCCCTGCAGGCAGCTTTATCTCTCCGTGGGGACGACTTACACTCCCTCCACCTGCTGACGCTGCTGCTGAGCGCCCAGAAACACCATCGTCATGCCCTGGACACCCTGAACCTGGCCCTCAGCCAGCACCCCGGCAACTTCAAGTAAAGCCCACTTATTTACCGTCCCACTCACACGGGAGACATAAAATGTTGGTGGAAGTGTTGGTGAATTCAGGATAGGGCAGTAATGGGTTGCTGGACACATTTTTTAAACTTTCTATGGCATGTTTATGTGTATAGTTACAATAAGTGCCGCAGTGAGGCTCCTTCCTTACTCTCGTCCTCTCTGTAAGGATAGGGTGTCTCAGCTCGACTGTGTTGGAGGCCAAGCACACACAGACACACACACACACACACACTCTTGACGCCTTATTTAGACGTGCCAGAGTGGTGGCCTGCATTGCGGTACCTATGCCCCTCACACACTCTCACCCTTTTAACACTGCAGCTCTGACCCGAGCCCCATTGCTGCTTTAGTGACAGAGAAGTCGTCCGACACATAAACCCACCTGTCTGCTACACTTATTTGAAACATATTTAAGGTACATTCAAGGGGTTATGGCTTGGCATTGCTTACCATTCACCGAACATTTCCTGAACATTTTGATATTTTGACAAAGGTTTAAAAAGGACATAATATTACATAACTTTTAACGTATATTAAAGTTACTAAAAGGATACAGAGCTGTGGTTTGGAATTTTTGTTGATTTTGTTGTTGTCTTTTGGGCAGCTCTGGACGGACACTATAATTTACATTTTTTTACTGTGTTCAATCTGAATTTACTTTAAAATAAAAACATCTATATTGATTCTGACACTTCTACATCCAACTCACAGATGTAACCTTGCTTTGAGAAAAAGGATTATTAATTTAACCCTTGTAGAAGGGAAGATATGGTCATTTGTTCTGGGCATGTCATTTTCGAGCCTGAGACCTGAAAAACAGGCTCAGGGCTTAACAGGTTAAAGTATGTCAGTTAGTAAAAAGGATTTTAATCAATAACAATACTTTATTATTATTACAACATTGTGTTGTCTTTGTAACGTTTTGAATTTTATTTCATAACAAAAAATAAATGTGTTATTCTTATCTCAGCTGAAAATACTCAAAGACATTTATTAAAATAATCCAGTTTTAATTGATATTGTGGAAGGCAGGTCAGCAGCAGTACAATCCCCAAACTTTGGTTTAAAATGCTCGCATGATTTCACAGGAAGCATTGTAGCCTGCCATCCCGAACACATTATAAACATTAATTAGCTGTGCAGGAAGCCCCCCATTAGAGATGAAATTAACTATCCAGGCCAATTCGTTCACGCTAGCCATAATATGGAAGCATGTTGCATCATCTTTCTGATGTGCTTTCTACATTTCAAAGCCCAGCAAAGCATTTCGTAATGCAGCCATTTGGGGTCAGTGTTGGCCTCCGAGGTCCCAGTGCAGACAGATGGGCTACATCTAAATATCAGGAGGGAGAGAAAGAGAGTGCACATGCAGAAAAACAAGAAAATGCATGAAAAAAGCGAAGGAAGGGAGGATGGTAAGAGCCAAACAGGAAGAAGAAAGAGACAGTGGGTGGGTGCAGGAAAGACGATGGCTTTATAATTACACAAGCTTTACTGATCAGCACTGTATGTACAATTGGAAGATGAAATCTGTTCTCTCTCTGTCTCGATGCAACATTGCACACTTAGACACACACACACACATACACACACACACACACACACACACACACACACACACACACACACACACACACACACACACACACACACACACACACACACACACACACACACACACACACACACACACACACACACACACACACACACACACGCCTCCTGCATAGAGACACTTGACTGCTTTGACCCATTTAAGAGCTCTTTTCCGGGCTCAGCCAATCACACCGCCGTCTGCGCCAGGAATCCCCATCGCCCCGGTAACCATGAGGTCATATGGGTAGAGCAGGCATCAGTTGTTGTTCCAAAACTGTTGTTATGGAGAGACATTGAGTCAGAGAGGAAGCAGCTGAAATACAATGAATTCTTACTAAATGACCATATGTTTATCTATGTTCCCAATAACATATTTACTGGCTTGGAAACACACATTACATTACATTACATGTCATTTGTTAGACGCTTTTATCCAAAGCGACTTACATATATTCAGTACTGTGGACAATCCCCACAGGAGCAATTTGGGGTGAAGTGTCTTGGGACACAACGACATGCTGACTGCAGTGGGACTCGAACTTGCTATCTCCTGATTCGAAGTCCAGCACACAGAGCCACAGCCTCCCTCTACATAGCAGTAGAGCACATTTGAACAGAGGTAGGGAAAAGCTGAAGAGAGACAAACAGAAGATTTCTGCGACAGCCTGAAATGTTAGCCTTAGCCTGAACAGGCCTAATTCATTGTGGCTCATCTGGCCTGGGACCTGCAGCTAACACACTTTTCCATCCCTCTATTTCTCTCTCAAAGTAAGTCGAGTGTATCAGTTTTACAGTCCATTTTGATGTTTGACATAATATTATATTATACAAGAGGCAATCTGTGTCTTAAAGGGGACTTTTAATGCTCTTTTTAGGTTCATATTTGTACTGTATCCCGTGCTTCAACTGTGACACGTTTACATGCTTTAATGTTCACAAAGTGCATTTTTTTTTTCTCATACGGCCTGTGCTGCCAAGTCGACTCTGATTGGTTAGCTGGTCGGATCTGTTGTGATTGGTCAACTGCTTAGAGATGTCCGTCCCCTTAGCATTTCACGTTCAATGTATGGGAACGCTAGCCAATAGAAGTGCGAGTGTTACAATTACATGCTGATGTCAATATGTTAGGGATGTAAACAAAGGAGTCCAATGGAGGCGTTTCAGGCAGGGGTGTGGGAGAGAAACTCCCTCTGGAGGGAACTTTGTGATTTTAGCCTTTGCAGAACATGTACATGCACACAAACCTATATAAAACACTACAGGGAAGGGAAAACCCCAAAAGCATAACAGGACCTCTTTAAATAACGCTTAGCTTCCTATGATNTGATGTCAATATGTTAGGGATGTAAACAAAGGAGTCCAATGGAGGCGTTTCAGGCAGGGGTGTGGGAGAGAAACTCCCTCTGGAGGGAACTTTGGGATTTTAGCCTTTGCAGACCATTTACATGCACACAAACCTATATAACACACTATAGGGAAGGGCAAACCCCAAAAAGCATAATAGGGCCTCTCTAAAAAAGTGAAATCTGCATTGTTTGGTATAATGAAAAGGGGGCAACTTGTAAAGAAATCTATAAGAAAATGATCCTACTTCTCGCTTGATTTATTACCATAGTAAACATTTTCTTTTTTGCGTCAACAGCTAGTTTCAAGACTTGTAAATTAACAGATAATTTGACACCGAGCACCCATCCCTGACCTGCCTACCTTAACAAATAGTTTAATCTACGTTTCAAGGCAAATTTCTTCAGATTCAGGGCCGCCGTTTAGCTCACTTGGTATCTAACAGCCCGAAATATAAAAAAAGAACAAAGAACTTTGATTCAGATACAGGCGTAGAGGCCAACGCATACATTGCCCATAAACCTCTGCAACAATGCGCTGGCCCTACATGTCATGACACTTATAGGCTCATTGGATGACCCAACTTCCTGTCTGAAGGCAAGTGTGCATGTTAGCATTATGTCCACAATCCACACATAATTATATAATAAAACAGCTTACAGTAAGTCTTCAAAACACACCTGTTTATGTTTGCTTGCATGCACACAGAGATGAACGTTCTTAGTGAGAATAGAACAAGAAGAACTCGATTTTAACATTAATTATTGACTGTTTTAGCTCTAAACGCGGCAAAAATTAGCAATACCCCCGGGAACCATCAGGCAGAGGCCGAGTTGCAGACCTCAGTCAGGGAACGAGAGACCGAGGCACAGATATAGGTGCAGAAAGAGAGTTATGGAGTGAAGAGAGGTGTTTTCTCAGTAACAAGCTCACTGAATATCATTTGCTTTGGAAGTGTGAGCGAGCTTCAGAGATCAAAGCTTGCATCGTGCACGGTGCTGGGCATGCCGTGACAGTCTTGTGTGTGTGTGTGAGTGTGTGTGTGTGTGTGTGTACTTGTATGTTGTGCGGATGTGGATGTGCCAGATCGTAATCTGGCACATACATGTTTGTGTGTCACTGTGTGTTGTGTGTGCATGCATGTGTGTGATTCTTGTTAGCCTCTGCGTCTCTGCACCACAGCAAACTGTCAGCTCACTGTAGCACACTGAATTTCTCCTTCCTCCTTTTTCTCCCACATCCTATACCCACGCCCCCTGCCTTTCTTTTCTCTCTATCTCTCTCCATTTCTTCCCCTCTAACTCCTTCTTTCTCATTCTTCTTTCTTGCATCTTTTGTATCTCTTCGTCTCCGTTTTCTCCCTTTTTTCTTTAATATTTTAATCACCCAGTAAAAAGGCATGCATTTCAATGTGAAATGGGATTCTGCTACAGATTCAGAGGTGTGTGTGTGTGTGTGTGTGTGTGTGTGTGTGTGGG